GAAACCATTGACACCACGAAACCTATGAAACCATGAAACTATTGACACCACGAAACCTATGAAACCATGAAACCATTGACACCACGAAACCTATGAAACCATGAAACCATTGACACCACGAAACCTATGAAACCATGAAACCATTGACACCACGAAACCTATGAAACCATGAAACCATTGACACCACGAAACCTATGAAACCACGAAACCATTGACACCACGAAACCTATGAAACCATGAAACCATTGACACCACGAAACCTATGAAACCATGAAACCATTGACACCACGAAACCTATGAAACCATGAAACCATTGAAACCTATGACGAAACCCACCCTATGAAACCATGAAACCATTGACACCACGAAACCTAAGAAACCATGAAACCATTGACACCACGAAACCTATGAAACCATGAAACCATTGACACCACGAAACCTATGAAACCACGAAACCATTGAAACCTATGAAACCATGAAACCATTGACACCACGACGAACCTATGAAACCATGAAACCATTGACACCACGAAACCTATGAAACCATGAAACCATTGACACCACGAAACCTATGAAACCATGAAACCATTGACACCACGAAACCTATGAAACCATGAAACCATTGACACCACGAAACCTATGAAACCATGAAACCATTGAAACCACCATTGACACCACGAAACCTATGAAACCATGAAACCATTGACACCACGAAACCTATGAAACCATGAAACCATTGACACCACGAAACCTATGAAACCATGAAACCATTGACACCACGAAACCTATGAAACCATGAAACCATTGACACCACGAAACCTATGAAACCATGAAACCATTGACACCACGAAACCTATGAAACCATGAAACCATTGACACCACGAAACCTATGAAACCATGAAACCATTGACACCACGAAACCTATGAAACCGTGAAACCATTGACACCACGAAACCTAAGAAACCATGAAACCATTGACACCACGAAACCTATGAAACCATGAAACCATGGACACCACGAAACCTATGAAATCATGAAAGTATTGACACCACGAAACCTCTGAAACCTATGAAACCATGAAACCATGGACACCACGAAACCTATGAAACCACGAAACCATTGACACCACGAAACTTATGAAACCATGAAACCATCCATTGACACCACGAAACCTATGAAACCACGAAACCATAGACACCACGAAACCTATGAAACCATGAAACTATTGACACCACGAAACCTATGAAACCATGAAACCATTGACACCACGAAACCTAAGAAACCATGAAACCATTGTCACCACGAAACCTATGAAACCATAAAACCATTGACACCACGAAACCTATGAAACCACGAAACTATTGACACCACGAAACCTATGAAACCATGAAACCATGGACACCACGAAACCTATGAAACCATGAAACTATTGACACCACGAAACCTATGAAACCATGAAATCATTGGCACCACGAAACCTATGAAACCATCAAAGCATTTGACACCACGAAACCTATGAAACCATAGACACCACGAAACCTATGAAACCATGAAACTATTGACACCACGAAACCTATGAAACCATGAAACTATTGACACCACGAAACCTATGAAACCATGAAACCATTGACACTACTGAACCTATGAAACCACGAAACACATGAAACTACGAAACCACTGACACCACGAGACCTATGAAACCATGACTCCATGATACTATCATTATGACATAGACATTGGCATATGCTAATTAGCATAAATTCGTGCACCGTAACACCAAGTAATAACCCAATGTTCTAATCCAAGTAATAGTAATGTGATAAGGTTCCTCATTCTTCTCGGAGAGCTTCTCGGCTAGGCGTTTGAGAAAGCAGTTGCAGCCAGCTCTTATCCCACCGTTGGTTTTAAAAACAGGGGGAGTGAAAGATCCCTTTTCAACGTCGAGCACCCTCTGTTGGCACTTCCGCCTTTTCTCCTCCTCCTGCCCCTTAAAGATTGTGGATGTTTCTTTTCCCTGCATGGTTGCACTTGGAGTTAACGTGCGTTACTCTGACATCAAAAATGCTGTAACTCAACGAGACCAAAAGCCCCCCTTATTATTATTATCATTATTATCCACCTTTCGAGGAATCGTGCCCTCAGATAGATGGCCTGCAAAAGAAGATGGAGGTAATGTGAAATGCAGCTCTTCTAGGAAAAATGTAACTAGTAATAGTTGACACTATAACTGCCCCCACTCTGTATATTGTCGGTCAATAGTATTCCTGGTCGTTGTGTAGCTCTGTGAAATATACCGATTCGTAATGAAGATTTTCACACATATTCCATACAATAGGTGAGATAAGAAAAAAGGGAAACGCAAGGTTCCATGCACTGATTCAGTTCGATTTACACAGCTTTGATCAAAACATTCTCAGTTTCGAGAATAGCTTATTCTAAACCATAAGAAAAGATTTAATTAGAAGTTGGAATTTTTCGCTATTTCCCTTTCACTTTTTGTATACAGTTCATTTTATTTGCCGGAAAGTAAAACTTAGGGCCTGTTTACATGAAGGTGGGGGACCCCATGTAGGTGAGGTAACATGTGTCGGGTTACCCCACCTAACTTGTAAACGTGATCACATTAAAATGAGAGATTATATGGACAGGCGGGTTACCCTACCTAATCGGGTTACCTCACCTACCTGGGGTCCCCCACCTTCATGTAAACAGGCCCTTAGAAATCATCTTCGGCCTTGGTGAATAACACCCCCCTTGCATGGCTATGATCGCGTGGTCAACTTTCGGTAAACACAAAAACAGTTCACTTTTGAAACATTTTGTTAGCACAAGCTGAAAGAGCATATTATAGTTAGGTAACTTGAGAATTTTCAGCCGTATATCTCAGAAGTAGCGATTGCAATGGCCGCATTTGCATTTGACTTTATGAGAAAAACAAGTTTTGCCACCCAGTCACGCTTGCATGGCTTTCCGTACAAATCCTTGTAAAGTCTAAAATTTTTAAACTGTCGTTAAATCTTTCCCTTACCCATTTAAGGGCTCGAATGGTCTGTTATGAACTAAAAGGAGATTTGAGCCCCGTAATGCTTAAGGAAATATTTCATGACATTTTTGAAAATTTCGAAATTACAAGCATTTGTATAGATCAAATGCTTCCAACTTTCGGCGGCCGTTGCAATCGCTACTTTTGAGATATACGGCTGAAAATTCTCAGGTTACCTAATTTCAATATTCTCTTTGTACTAACAAAACTGAACTGTTTTCGTGTTTACCGAACGTTGATCACGTGATCAAGTCATGCAAAGAGCCTATTTATTCAGAATAATTCCAAGTTTTTAAACAAGCTAAAACATGCTTACCTCCGTCGATGTTAATAGAATATGTTTGTCGGGAAGTTTAGGCGATAAAGGGCTGTTCAGGTTTGCAAATATAGAGCGATTTTCGTATGACCTTGAAAAATTGTTTCTGTAAGTGTTCGTAATTTCTTTTATCAGCCAAAGAAAACCCTAATATGGAGAAGGCATTGTTCGATGGCCAATCGTGTTGCAGTATGACGTTAAAGCGAAGTTGATTTCTAGAAAGTTCTCGGGCATGAAGTTTTTTCATCCGAGCGTTCGCTTAACCAACCAAAAGCCACGTGCGTTTGTGTCCGTTCGATGAACCAATCAAATCGCTTTATCTCCGCTCGTTTTTTAATTCTGTTTTGTTCCCCCCTTTATCATTTCAAAGTCAAACGAAAATTGCTCTACTCCAAATAGCAGATGTCGTCCGCAAATTGTCCTCTTGCTGTTCTTGCTATGTCCCGCCATTACCCACTTAGAAAACAACTCAAACTCGTCCTCAGGTCTTCTCGGTTAACCGTTCAATAATCTACAACTTTGCTGCACTTTTGACGTCATCGTTTCAATATGGCAAAATTTTTAGAAATTTGGTCAACAGGAGATGGTTATGATGAATTACGCGTGTGATTTTAGCCAGTCAGAAACGAAGAAATATTTTGAATATATAATAAACACAAATATACGCACCTTATAACTTCATCAGCACATAACGAGTCTTGGTCCATAACTTTCAAAACAGCTGCTTCACAGAATGTCACTGATAACACGTAACGCAAAAGAGTATCGAAGTATGCGGTTCCTACGGGATTTTCTGTTTTACGTCATGTTCACCATCTCTTACTTGCGGCCGCGAAAATAGAAACGTCATCATTACCCAGCAATTCCATGTGACACCTGTTCAAGCAAATCGAGCTTTTTTCTGGAATACTGAATGTATCTTTCAACTGTAAGTAGTTTCCTTAAAATACGCGCTAACTACTCGAGTGCCTCCTCGGGATTTCGAGCATTAGTGCGGAGGCAATAATTAATTTAACATCGGGAAAATGTTTGGTCTTCTGTTTTCTTTAATATACGTGCAAACTAGTAAGGTGCCTCCTCGGGTTTCGCCTTCCGTGAGGAGGCAATAATTAATTAATAAACTTTGGGAAAATGTTTGGTCTTTTGTGTTGAACCCTAAAATTTTGAAGGCTGTGATAAGAACTTGTTATATTTTTAATATAAGTCCGAACTTACTTTCCCCCTAGCCCTTGGCACATGCCACTCTAATTCAAGAAAATAATTTTTATATTTGATTTAAGAACACATTGTCATTTGAATTTCATAAATACGAATTTGATTGGAATAAAAGTTATTTTGATCAAAAGTCCATTCTTTCATTGTCTTAACTCTGACAGCTGGATGTGATAAATAACTCACCGAAGAATGAATCCTTCCTCTTTATCATTAATTTATAATATGTAGTAGTGCTTTTGTAGTGGTTTGTTCATGAACATTGGGTGTAATTTCCGTCTTGTCACGTTTGATTACCTTAAGGAAATATCTGAGAATCTTAACTGGACTCAACCTACATTTTGGCCATATTTCATTCAAAGCGATCATGGTTCACCCTGCTGGTATTAATTCGACGATTGCAAATACTCATCATCTGTTTTTAGCCTGACTGTGTTATTTCTGGTTTGTTGCCTGCTTCTTTCTCTTTTCATCATTGGTGTTGCTGCTAACGTTGTTGTCTGCATAACATTGACTAGCGGATGTCGTTTGAAAAGACACCTGCCAAACTTTATGCTTTTCCATCTCTCGGTCACAGACATGGTATTTCTACTTATAGTTCTACCTTCCTATCTTATAGCCGCAATTTCCCCGGTGGAAAGTAAGGATTTAATTTGTAAAACCAGCCAGACTCTACTTTCCTTGGTACACGCAGTAATTTTCACTAGTTTGGTGGTGATCGCATTGGACAGACATCATGCTATAACGAAACCATTTCAAAGGCTGAGACATAAACCAAATTTCTTGATATGCATTACGGCGGTTTGGGGATATTCCATAGTTTGCGCATTTCCGCACATATTCACCGAAAAGATCACTACATTCATTGGGTCAAACAACACTTATTACAATCACCGGGGAGTCAATATAACCGTTCTCTACCTTATGTGTGCGCCTCTATCTACTTTCAAGGATTCAATCAATCAAAAGATAATAACAACTGCCTATTTTACTCTGGGATTCCTGTTACCACTGGTAATTTTGACGGTGGCATACTCTAGCATTGCTGTTTTTCTGAGGAGGAAAAGTCGTAATGGGATTACCAGTCAAGCGGCTCTGAAATCAAAAGAAAAGGCATTACGCATGCTCATTTTAATGGTTCTAGGATTTGTTGTTTGCATGGGAACTCCTCTACTGCACGATTTGATGATAGCGTTCGGCTACGGCACCACTGCATTATCCATTTTCGCGTTCATACCTCAGTTGTCAAGTTCCCTCGTTAATTTTTTAATTTATGGGTTCTACTCTGCTGAATTCAGCAAGGACTCACATGTTTAGGGAAGTAATGATGCATACCTAACCCGTTTTGGCCCAAGTTTATTCGGTCAAAATGGCTTGATATCCGGGCGGGATGTTGGCCGGGTTCTTGTCGTTTTTCTTTTTGTTTTTTTTTCTTTTTATAAAGTTTTTTGGTTCAAATCGAAAAAACACACACACAAAACGAGGTCAATATGGAGCCATCTCCAAGCAATTGTAAATTTGTACAGTAAATATCATATTATCCCGGTTCCCTTAGGGTTTTTCATGGATAATTTAGAATACTGAATACTTAGTCAGACTTCGATAGATTTGTTATGGTGTGGTTCGAATGTTCTCGTAAAGGCCATATCTTGCAAACTACTTTCAAATACCTACCGTGTGGTACGAAATTTTTGCGGGTTCTAAGTTTTGCGATTTTTGCGATTTTTCCAGCTATCCGCAAAATACGTTCCCGCAAATAAAAATTACCGCAAACACTTTTCCAACAAAAATTTTCTCCAGTGTAAGTATTCTCTAACTTAAATAGACCTTTTTACTGATACGGCGGCCATATTGAATTAATTCAATTTAAAGAGTATGAAATGTAGGTTTCAAAACGTTCTTCTTGTATCTGTTAAGTTTTTCCCGTCTTTAGCCCGCGCGGGACTGGTAGAAGAACTACGTCATTTATATGTCGTTGTAATATTATGGTCTGGCGCATGTGCTCGCTCGAAAATCTTTAGGTAAAGTTCTAGTCGAGTTCTGTTCGTTTACACGGCCTAAAGTCTTTTCACGTTTCCTTCGAGCCTTCAAATCCTGTAAGTATGTTGTCGCTAAGTATTTTCATCTTTCTTCCTTTTATTCACACTCGTTTTGTTTTTCGTAGTCTAACCAGATCCTTGTAACGAATCTTTGGTCCGAATCTCCTTGGAATAAATTCATATGAACATTTAAGTCTACATTTGCGTTAGAAGGATGTGCTGGTTTCGCTGTGGATCGTCTTGGATTTTCGTCGATTGTGCCATGGATTTATCCGTTCTTTGATTGATTGGTGTTATCGATAATTTGTTTCTTCGCTTGTGGATCGATTGTAGAGTAAGATGGACTTACGTGGGTTGAAAACCAAAACTGTCGACGTCGATGGAGCCGTTCACGAGAGAATTCTTCGCTTAAAGCGTAGTAGGTCCGGTTCAAAGGCGGCCGTCACCAGAAGACAGCGCGAATTACTTGAGCTAATGAAGAGCTCTGACAATGTTGATCAGGTTAGAGCGAAGTTTCTTGATTTAGAAGTAGCTATGAGACATTTTAACGAAGCACATGATAAGTATCACGCTGAGTTGACTGATGAAAGTGCAATTCGGGACTCGATCGAGTATTTTGAATCAGTGAAACGTATGGGAACTGCGGTGTTTCAGTCATTTGATGTCTGGTTGCAATCTGCTCAGTTTAAGCTCCAAGAAGAATTAGATCTTGCCATCAGTCTTCATCCGGAAGACTCTATCAGTAATATTAGTTCTACGAAATCGAAGTCTGCTGCAAGTTCTAGGAGGCGCAAGTCTAAATCTAGCGCTAGTTCCAGTCTCTCACAGTCAAGCACCGCTTCAAGTGCAGGGCTGAGAGCCTCTGCTAAGAAAGCTGCCTTGTCAGTGGAAGTAGCTGCATTGAAGACACGGCAGGACATTCAGTTAGAAGAACTCTTGTTGAAGCAGAAGAAAGAGAATTTTGAGTTGGAAACTTAGTTAGCAAAGGCCGACGCTGAAGAAAAGGTGTACAGTTATTGTGAGGAGCGACGTCTGTCAACACTGTCAAGTCAGTTACCGACTTTACATGCAACCAAGAAGGAGAGCACCGTGGATATGCCTGAGGGCCAAGAAAGTCATACACTGACACTAGCAGGTCAATTTGCAACCTCCACTCCAGGTCAAGTCGAAGAGAAGGAAACTGTGGAAGCTCCAGTTCATCAGACAGAGGAAAATCAAGAGGTTAAATGCAGTCCACTAAACCCAGACGCCCCTGTATGGAAAGGTTACGGATGCTCACCCTCTGCGATTGATGGTGAAAGTGCTGAAGGTGGATTATTGGAACAACACCTAGATCTAAGTGACAAGAATGTCAGTCACGTGATTGAAGTCCAAAAGATGCAACAACAACAAAATCAACAGCTTCAGGAGTTGCTGAAACAGCACCAGCTTCAAACATTAGCCATGACATTGCCACAGCCTGAAATCTCTGTGTTTTCGGGTGATCCTGTTGAGTACTCCGACTTCGTGCGAGCCTTTGAAAATTTAATAGAGTCAAAGACAAGCAGCCCGAACTCACGTTTGTACTATCTCGTTCAATATACATCAGGAGAAGTGAAGGAGTTAATGCAAAGCTGTTTATCGATGGATCCCAAAGAAGGCTACAAGACTGCAAGAGCACTCCTTAAGGATAGATATGGTCAAAGCTACAAAATAGCAACTGCCCTCATTGATCGAGTAACGAAAACTCCTCAGATTAAGTCAGATGATGGTCCTGCTTTGCAAAGGTACTCAGTTGTACTTACAAGTTGTAAGAACTCTCTCAAGGAAATTGGATACCTAAACAAAATTGAAAACCCTGACACTCTCCAAAGGATCATTGGAAGGTTGCCACTTTGGCTAAGACAGAGATGGAGAGAAAAGGCTGATTACATCAATGAAGAGCTGAAAAGAGAGGTCACTATCGGAGATGTTGCAGAATTTGTTGAAGCAAAGGCTAGAATAGCCAACCATCCAGTGTTTGGGGACATCCACTCGAATGATGACAAGAACAACGCTGTAGGCATTGGTTCCAAAAGAAGGTACAGAACACCATCAAAGGAGCACAAAGGTTCTGCTTTCACGACACAAGGAACCACCCCGGAAAGTACTACTGACCCACCTAAGGACAACACTGAACGTGCGCCTGACAAGTCGAACGTCAAGTGCCCATTGTGTAAGGAGAGTCATTGGCTGTCACGCTGCCAGCTTTTCAGAGGAAAGTCGGTTGATGAGCGAATTAGTTTTGTGCGTAGTAGAGGACTGTGTGATAATTGTCTTGTTGCGGGACACATGGCGATGTCGTGCCCCAAGAAAAGCTTCTGCCAGATTGTCGGATGTAAGATAGGTCATCGGAAACATTCTACGTTCTTACACCCAAAGAATGACAAACCAGTCAAAGCACCAACTCCATCAGTATCTGAGGCCCAGTCGAGTAACACGGAGAATGAGAATCAGAATGGCCAAGCCCGAAGCTGTTTCACTGAAATGGTAGCATGTGAAGGAGTGTGTAGTGCGACTGGGGCCGGAGCATCAGCTACAGGACTTGCCATAGTTCCAGTTAATGTCAGAGCCGAGGGAAGGGAGAAGATGGTTCAAACCTACGCGTTTCTGGATCCAGGGTCGAACACTACATTTTGCACTGACAAGTTGATAGAACGTCTAGGTGCAACAGGTAGAAAAGCGATGCTGTCTTTAACTACCATGGATAGTGATAATGTTAAGAGTGAAAGTCTAGTGGTCAATTTGGAAGTTTCTGATCTGCAAGGACGTAATGTCGTTGAACTGTCAAATGTTTTCTCACGAGTCAAACTTCCAGTCACCGTTGATGATATCCCGGTTCAAAGTGATGTGGAAAGGTGGTTCTACCTGAAAGATATCGACTTACCTTGCATTGATGCCGACATCGAATTGCTCATAGGTAGTGATGTGCCCGAACTTCTTGAACCTCATGAAGTGCAGAGAAGTGAAGATGGTGGTCCTTATGCCGTGCGAACACTGCTAGGATGGACCATCAATGGCCCACTCGGTAGGGCAAGTAAGGCAGCCCGTACTTCAAACCGTATCCAGTCTCATGTTGTCTTGGACCAGCAGTTTGTACGTTTCTGTGAAATGGAATTTAATGATTCGCAGTTCAGCATTGAGAAAGGATTGTCTCAAGATGACAAGAGAGCCCTTGCCATAATGGAGGATTCTGCTGAGCTCCGCGGTGGTCATTACGAAGTTGCGCTTCCTTGGAAGGTCTTCCCTCCAGATCTGCCCAACAACAAGATCGTCGCTGAACATCGTCTTGGGTTGCTGAAGAAGAGGCTGCTGAAGGATCCCCAACTACACCGGAAGTATTCTTTATTTATGGATGACTTGTTTGACAAAGGACATGCACAGAAAGTTCCTGACGGTCAGCGAGAGGATTCACCCTCATGGTATCTACCTCATCACCCCGTCATTCACCCACAAAAGCCCGACAAGGTCCGGGTGGTCTTTGACTGTGCCGCAAAATTCCAGAATGTCTCGCTCAATCAACAGATTTTGCAAGGACCTGATTTAACCAACTCGCTCATTGGAGTCCTAACAAGATTTAGAGAACAGCCCATAGCCATCATGGCTGACACTGAGAAGATGTTTTATCAAGTGCGCGTACCAATAGAGGATAGCAGGTACCTCCGTTTCCTGTGGTGGCCGAGTGGTGAAATGGACAAAGAACCAGAAGAATTTCAAATGCTAGTTCACCTTTTCGGGGGAGTTTCATCTCCCAGTTGTGCGAATTATGCACTGCAGAAAACGGCTGAAGACAATGCGGAACATTTTGATAAAGACACCATTCAGACGGTGAGAAGAAATTTCTATGTTGATGACTGCTTGAAGTCTGTGGAAGATAACCAACGAGCAAGTCGACTGGTCGATCAGCTACGTCAGTTGCTGGCCAAAGGAGGTTTCCGCTTAACGAAATGGATTTCAAATGCCTACGATGTCATCCAGTCAGTCCCAGTATCCGAGAGAGCCAGTTCGGTCAAAGAGCTCGATCTCGAGAACTTGCCTGTTGAGCGTGCCCTCGGCATTCTGTGGGATGTCCAGTCAGATACCTTCCGTTTTAAGATTGCAGTGAAGGACCGACCCCCAACGAGGAGGGGTATTCTTTCCGTCATAAGCTCAATTTATGACCCTCTAGGGTTTGTTGCACCATTAATTCTGCCTGCGAAAGCAATTCTGCGTGATCTGTGCCGGAAGGGATTGGATTGGGATGATAGAATTCCCCTTGAA